GTTCAGTCCGTCAGACCCCGAGGCAATGTTCTTGTCAATGACTGATCCAAGTTATCCCGCTGACTTACAATGGCACACTTCTCAAATCTGAAGTGAGAGAAAGAGAAGTGAATTCAGCTGAAGAGATGTGTGTAATGGGCATTTGTAGATGTCAGCATCAGCATCAGCATCTCATTTTGGCACATGAGATTGTCAGTCATATTCATAGAATGACGTTCTTTTGTTTTCATGTTAAACTGATGTAACTTTAATATATATATATATATATATATATATTAAATACATATATTATATATATATATATATATATACATATATATATATATATATATATTAGATGGATGGAGAAATTATATTTCAGTGATTTTGCTTTTGCTTGCAAAACTTTTTCTTAGATCACATAAGCTAGAGTACACAAAAGTTTCATATATATATAGCGTTTAATTTGCATGAAAATATAATTTATATACTATACAAGAAACATCTCATGAGTGCACTGGGACACATCCTCAGTGATGTACCCTGGGGTCATTGGGTGTTTCGGGTCTCGCAACATCATACACCCTCGCCCAGGCGACCCAGCCGGGGTTGATCAAGCCCCGACTTGCGTCCCAGTAGCAGCCCACGGATCAGCCCTCTTAAACCAAAGCCACCTTGTGGCCTTCTCTGCAGCTTCGCTCGCGGCTTGAATGGCCCTCTTCTTGGCCACCCCTGTAATGCCCAAACGACTGAGGACTTTTCCTTATCAAACTGCAGCCACTCACTCCGTTTGCTGGCTGGGGGCCATTTGATCCGTTGCTGAACTACTCTGCTGGGATTTGGAGGCTCTGCTGCGTGGAGGGACTGGGATCTGTGGGTTGCCTCCTGGCCGGGCTCCTCCTGCGTCTCACCAGGTTCAAGACCTGTGCGTTGCACCTCACTCTCCCGCTCCAAATATTTCATTCTAGCCTGATGGATTTTTTGACCCCGATGATTCTTGCACAGCTTTCCACAAATGCATGTCACATTCATCGTCTGTCCGTTTGCATGGGTTGTTAACCTTTGGTCCGTCCTATTGGAGATCTCATCCTCCCCCCTTCTCGGGATCTCCTGGGGGTATCTCTCTATAGGGCTTTCCGTAGCTTGTTTGGGTTCTCTCTCACGAAAGACACAGGCTGGGTTGCTAACCCATACTGTCCCAGGTGCCGTCTTTCCGTGCCAACTGTATATATATATATATACACACACACAAGTAAAAACAAAAAATAATTACGCATCTTTTCAAGGTAATTTTTTGGAGAAATATTGTTGCGTGTGACATTTATATTTGCAACGTATTTTAGAAATGTTTTTCAAAACCATATGAAAATAAAATGAATTTGTACTAACTTTTATGTTTTTTTTATTGTTTTTATAAATGATCTTTCTTTGCATTTAAAAGACAGACACCTTTATTTATCATTGATTATGCAGCTGATTATACTTCAGATAAGAATTCTATTAAATTCCAAATTATATCAAAAATTAATTTAGAATTTAAAATGTCTTAAAAAAAAAAAAATTAAACACATGCTCATCATGGAGATGTATTCAAGTCATTCTGTGTATGAACTGCATTTTAAAATTTTTTAATTTGAAAAAACAAAACAAAAAAAAAACCTGTCGTGTTAGTGACCCTTAAACAAAACCTTCTGCCTGCCAAACAACACCATAAACCATAATATTCATATAGAGGAGCATATGTCCATACATTTTATTACCACCTAGGCCGATCGAATGTGATTTAAGTGTGTCAGCATGTTCCACTCCAGATGGTATTTTTTTATGAGAGGCAGAGGCAATAATTTAGTTCTCCTGGATTGTCGTTCATAAATCATACTTGAGATCACTCACATTCGTTCCCACCTGACAGCTCATGTGCCTGTTACTCTGATTACCCCCATAATCATTCCCGCCTCTGAGTCCATTCTCTATCACCACCACCAACAGACACGTGGAACGTTACTTCACGGTCACACTAAAAAGCAGCCGATTTTCAGCAAGCTTTCAAGTTCTTGTTTCTTAAGGACACAGATAAGAATCAGATCTCCACAATAATTCCTTAGAAGGTGGCCTTGAATGACAGAGTACTAGAAGAAACCAATATTTTCTTTCCTTGTGAACTTTCTCTACGTAAATTATTTGCTCATATTGATACCTGCATTATTGATAAGGAGTTTTGTTGTGATAAAGTGGCATCCAGTCATGTTTTCTATAAGGAATTGCTCACAAAAAATTATTGGCTCCTGCATTCCCTAGGCTCATCTCTTGCTGCATTTTCGCCATACACATCTATAAATAATTCTTCCATTTCTTGGCCGTTCCGCTTTCAGTGTATCTCCAAGTGTATTTATTTTGGATAAGCCCTTGAGGAGAATCTCGCAACCTGACCTCTTAACGGTGAGGTCCCAAGCTCTTCCATACTTGATAGAATATTAACGGTGAATCTATCTTCTACACTCTACCGGGCATGGATGGAAAACATAATGTCTACAAAAAGCCTGTGGGCAGATAAACTGTCTGACCTAAATGTTCCTCCTGTCATGTTCTCTGGCTTGAATTCCTGCTGTTCTGTGGTTCATAACCTGGACCACCTGGGAAGGATAATGTCAATTCTCTGCCACTTAAATGTCATCTGGAAGCACGATGTACAATCTGAAAATGCAGTTTGTTATTCAGGCAACACCTATTTCGATGAGATAGATTTTCAATAACTCACAGAGTGTTGCAGTAAAGATAGATAGATAGATAGATAGATAGACTTATTTTCCATTAATCCACCTGGAGAAGTAAAGAGTTAATTCATAGTGATTGTGTAAACACACATTGTGCGCTCAGGTCTGGGTGTTTAAAAAGTTCTGTGCACTCCAGGCTCATCCAGCTGTGTATAATGCTTTCAAAAAGCTCTTAGTACCCATGTTTCTATCTCTGCGTGTCGTCTATTTCGATGAGATAGATTTTCAATAACTCACAGAGTGTTGCAGTAAAGATAGATAGATAGATAGATAGATAGATAGATAGATAGATAGATAGACTTATTTTCCATTCATCCACCTGGAGAAGTAAAGAGTTAATTCATAGTGATTGTGTAAACACACATTGTGCGCTCAGGTCTGGGTGTTTAAAAAGTTCTGTGCACTCCAGGCTCATCCAGCTGTGTATAATGCTTTCAAAAAGCTCTTAGTACCCATGTTTCTATCTCTGCGTGTCGTTCAGGGCTATCAGGGTACCACTCAAGCCCAACGTAATTAAACTCCAGAGAACAGACCAAAGTAAACCTATCTTACCTCAACAGGTAAGATCTGTAAAAAGCAAAGCACAAGTAGCTATTTTTATGTGTATAAGCTACTTGTCAACCAATGCAACATCCAATGTGTCTGTTTAAAGATGCAAACATACAAATAGGGTAAAAGACAAAGAAAAAAATGGGTCTGCAAACGTGCATAAGACTCCCTCTAGTGGACAACCTATGAAAAACACTCAACATGTTTTACTTTTTTCTGTATGTACTGTATCTTTCTCACAGAGACTAAATCTAGTACTGTAATTGCCTACAATATCTATAGCAGCGATTGTAGTACTCAAAGACAAAGGATAAGTTAATGGAACCGGCTTTTAATTCACTATGGGTGTGATCTTTTAAAGATTGATGGGCCTATTAACCACTGAATTGATTATTGCTCTTTTAGCTCTGAGATTCTCCCGCGTCCTCATTAGCTCAAGCCATCAATTGTAGTGCATTATGGGGAGAGAATGTGGTCGGTATGATGCATGCCCTGATGGATGATGTAATTATGTTCCTGCTCTCACAGACAGTGCAGACCCTCTACAAACTCTTCAGGTTCCAGTGCACTCATAGGGCACTGTGTTACCATAGGAACAGTATACATAAATGCACATAATTATGTTGTTGTCCTTGTCTCAAAGACGAGTCGGAGTGAGGGGGAGAGCGAGCGATAGAGAGACCAAGAGAAGCGAAGGAAACTGTTAATTGAGGTGCTGTCTTTATTTTTCATTATAACAGATTTGTGAGCTCTGAATCATCTGAGTAGCCTTGTGTATGTGATTTCTTACCTATCAAACAATAGTAAAATAATGGATAATAGGACTTCAAAATTTCTTGTTTAATTCATGTTGCTTGCTGTTTCTTTGAAATTAATTGTGAAATTTAATAGCAATTTCTATGTAATGTAATATATATATATATATTTAATATTTATACAATTTATATTCATTTAATAATATTAATTTAATACTTTAATGTATATTCACATATTAAATTTATATATATATAGTTTGAAACCTCAGGAAAACAATAATTGTTTTTTATGTATATTTATATTTAATGTAGTTTTTAATAAATGGGTTCAGTAAAAACTCCATGCATAATATTTATATATATAAAAAATGTTGTTTAAGATAATTTTAGATGAAGTATAGCATGTGACACTGCAGGGCACGGTTGTGTTCTCACATCCACAAGCTTTATGCTTCAGTGGATGAACTGGCTGCCTCTGGCATTGTTCTACAAAACTCACTCTCGCCACCTCCAGCTTTCTCTCTCACGTTCATCTCCAGTTTCCTCCAGGCAGAATGAAAATTTGGCCCCCTGGACATTTGAACCCATTATACTTTGTCGCTCTCTTTCTCCAAAAAAAACTACTACACACAGACTGACGGATGCATCTCCTCAGGAACTCTGGGCTATTATTAGACCTTTCCTTTTTAGCACTCCAATCAATGAAATTCTGTGTTCCACCGTTTTGTCCCCACAAGACTTATTATTTCTGCGTAAATGGAGGTCAAAGCAATTGATTTTGGTTCACATCCTATCTGCATTATTGGACTGCTGCAGTGTGTGTATGTGTGTGCGCTTAATTCATGTTCTGAGTTTATGTCCAACAGGGCTGGTTCCATTTTTCATTCATCCAATTTCCTCCTGTGCTTGATTAGACTGTTATTCATACTTGTTTCCTAATTGGTCATGTGAAAATAGAAAAAAAGGACATTTGCATTGATTTCCTCTCTATCCCTCCATTGTCAGCAATGTTCTCTGCCAGAGTCCTCTTCCCCTTGACCTTGAGAGGGGATTGTGGGTATTAAGTATTAGATTGGAAGCTATGCTACATTTTGATGACACGTTCAAACAGGAATGCATTAAAAAGACTGGTGCCTACTGTACATTTAGCCCCGCCTCTTTCCAGTGGTAACTGTTGTACTGGTCAATCATGCATTGTGCCTTTTCGGTGAAGCGGGTGATTGAGGAGTTGCTCCACCACTGGTCCAGGTTCCCATCTTTGTCATATTTTCTGCCTAGATGAACACAGATGTCCTTCAGAATCAGCTGTCACCATGGCAACACGTGTTGAGACTCATTATAAATCAAATGGCCTCACCATTGTTATCAAAGCCATGGGTCAATTCATGCCCCACAATTACTCCGATCGCTCCATAGCTCAAGGATCTGACACAAGAACACATTTTATGAATGATTTTTCCTAGAAATCCACATAATCTCGAGCATACATAAATCAAAAGAGTGACTATGTCTCACCGAGGGTAGTCAAGTCCCCAGAAAAATGGCTTCTGAAGTTCTCCCGCAGGGAATCCTGGGTAGAAGAAAACGGTTCAATTAGCCACCAAATAAAAGAATGTGATACGGTATATCTAAACACACATCAAACATCTAAAACAGAGAACACACTACTATTACACCTGATAGATACCACACCAGAAATGTTTTTTATAACTCATATTATACTGGATATCATTTATCATTTATCATTCACATACTGGTAAACAATGTATAGCTTGAATGCACTTTAAGTCGCTTTGGATAAAAGCGTCTGCTAAATGCATCAATTATAAATAAATAAATTAATTATAATTAATTATCATTATTAGTAATGCACTTTTAAAGGCAAACCGTTGTTATGAGGGTGATATGAACACCATATTGTGTATGAGGGTAGCAAAATATACACCCGCACAAATGTATTCAATTATTTTATGATCGTCAAGGCTACATTTAGGTCAAAAATAGAGTAAAAGAGTGATGTTGTGATATATATTTTTACAATTAAAAATAACAGTTTTCTGTATACTATATTTTCATATATTTTAAAATGTAATTCATTCCTGTGATGGCAAAGCTGAATTTTCAGAAATCATTCTAACATGCTAATCGGTGCTCAAATAACATTTATTATTATTATTATCAATGTTGAAAACAGTTGTGATTCTTAATCTATTCTTTAATAATTTAAAAGTTCAAAAGAACATTATTTTTTATTTATTTATTGCATCCTTTGGTAAATAAATGTTTTAATTTCTTTCATAAAATATTTAAAGTCTTAATATTTTTAAGATGAAAGTCTATATGCCTTTTATAGAAAAATAGGAAAATATGACCACTGTGATTGACCAATCAAAACCAAGTATTCAATACACTCTTAAAAATAAAGGTGCTTCAAAAGGTTCTTCAAGTGATGCCATAGAAGAACCATTTTTGGTTCCACAAAGAACCATTCAGTCAAAGGTTCTTTAAAGAACCAGCTCTTTCTTACCTTTTTTATAATCTGAAGAACCTTCTTTCGCTACAAAGAACCTTTTGTGAAACAGAAAGGTTCTTCAGATGTTAAAGGTTCTTTATGGAACCATTTAGACAAAAAGGTTCTTCTATGGCATCGTGAAGCACCTTTATTTTTAAGAGTGTAGAGCTCTTTATTTATTAATGAACTGAAATTCATTACTCACTGATCTGGTTTGTAGAGGAGCTGTAAAACGCATTTACTGTTGTTGGGTTGGTGAACCACCTGAGGGGAAAAAAAGTGATGTTTCATCATGTTCAAAGGCAGATTCATCTCATTTTAACAAGCTTTGAAAATGCTGACAACTTACTCTGTGCGTGGGACTGTTTTCCTCAGCCAGCCGATGTCAGACTGAGATATGAACTTCAGGGTCTGCATGACATTCCCAAAATAGTCTGTCTCAGTGAACGCCAACTGTGCATAAACATAAAACCTTAATGACTTTGAGTTGCACTGATATCTGCCAATCACAAAACAGTTCAATTGAATAACAAAATCAATAAGATGAACTAAATCTAGAAAGCTTGCAAACATACTTGTTTGAGGTCCTCATTAATATAAGTGTCATTTAAGATGAAGTCTGGGTAACCCACTTTCGCCAAGACTGCATGAGCCTAACGTGAGATATAGACAGTAATGATGTGAAAAAGAACAGTTTCATTGATGCTGTGTATTCATAGCTGTCACAAATACACTGGAAAACACCTTTTCTGTTGCTTTTCTCTTTGTTTCTTTATCCATCCAGTCATTCTCCTTCTCAAGTATGTCAATAAATGCCCATCGGATAGCATTTATCAATTCCTCCATCTTCATAAAAGTTGAAAGACATTCGTCAGAGGAGCATTCAATAGCATGTTTATCAGGTTTACAGTAAAATGAGATCCAACGGTTTATGCTGTTATTCAGGATTAGTTCCACTAGATGGGGACAGAAATTAAATCAGTCACACCGAATACTAGAGTAATGGTTGCTGAAAAGTCAGCTTTGCCATTACAGGAATAAATTTCATTTTAAAAAATATATTAAAATAGAAATAATTATTTTAAATTGACTAAATGTTTCACAATATTACTGTTTTTACTGTATTTTAATCAACTAAATGCAACCTTGGCATTAAAAATCTTAACAACCCTAAACTTTTGAACAGTAGCATATGTTAATGTTATTTATTTCTGTTATTGCAAGCTGAAACAATACATATATTTATATGAATAGCTTGCATAACTTGTGTATTAAGATACAGCAAAAATAGAAATATTGTGAAATATTAATATAACTGTATTCTATTTTAATATATATTAAAATGTTATTTATTGCTGCATGGCATAGCTTAATATATATATATATATATATATATATAAGTGCTGTCAAACGATTAATCGTAATTAATCACATCCAAAGATAAAAGTTTTTTTTTCATAAATATGCAAATAAATATACAAATATGCTTATATAAATATATAAGAAAAAAATGCTGTTTATATATTAAATATATTTGCATATATTATAAATTATATAAATATATACATGTAAATATATGTAAACCTTTTCAAAATATATATTGTATGTGTGTGTATTTGTATATACATAATAAATATACACAGTACACACACATATATTATGTAAATATATATATATATGAATAGTTTCACTTATTGTACCATGTGTTTCTTGTCCTCTTGGAAATGCTTATCGACAAAGAGCCTGCCGGTGGCATAGATGAGTGTGTTTTCTACATAATTCACACACTTGTCCCAGCGAGGGGTCAGAGAGGTGGTCCCTGTGGTAACCTGAGAAGAGAAGGATATTTAATATTGTAAACCGCAGCAAATCTATTTTTATCCAAAGATTTTTGTAGAGTTACAATGAGGATGTTGTTCACTAACCCGAGCAAAGTCCAGGTATCTGTAGAGAAAGCGTCGACTCAAGGTGGTGATTCTGGAAAAAACTGATCTCCATATGACGTAATTGGCAACTGTCCTGGGGCGAGGGTGGAAAAAAATGTACAGATGAATTACAGAGTAATCTTGACTCTGTTATTGAGCAGAGCAGGTAATAAACAGGTAGGACATATAAACAGCACACACAGTGATCACACAAGTGACATTGTCCAGACCAATTGAGGCAGAGCCTCAGGGCTCTGATGCAGGTTTTAATGAGATTTTAATATTTTTAAAAGCTGTCTGGATACCTGGTTTCTGTGGCGTTGATGAGTTTGAAGAGGTCTTTAAAGTATTGTGGGGCACGTACGATCACCTGCTCTGAAGAGGAGATTTTCAGATCTGGATACAGCTCAGTGTCAATTACTGCTCTGACAAAACCCAGCCAGTTAAACTGCAAAAGAAAAAACAATAGTAAATAAATAGATACAAATATATATAACAATAGTAATGTTTTGTATGGATGCTTGTTTCCGCCACAGACTTTTAAAAAAATGAAATAAATAAAAAGCAACTTTTTATATACAACTCTGACTTTTCTTGCAATTACGAGTTTATATCTCACAATTCTGACGTTTTTGTTAATTGTAAGATGTAAATGAGTTTATAACTTGTAATTGTAAGATATATACTTGGGATTTAAAGAAAAAAAGTCTGAATTGTGAGATAAAACTCGCAATTGCAAGAAAAATTTCAGAATTGTGAGATAAAAAGTTACCAATTACCTTTTTTATTTTTTCCGTGGTGAAAACAAACAAACAAAACAGCATGAATTGCAAGATGTAAACTCACAATTATGAGTTTAAAACTTTATATTTGCAATATTTGCAATTGCAATATATAGTCACAATCGAGACTTTTTTCTTCACAATCGAGTTTATATCTTAAAATTCTAATGTTTTTCCCCACACAATTTTGTGGGAAAAAAGGAATTACCACCAAAGAGAAAACTAGTTCTGTCTGAATATAGTCACAATTATGTTTAATGAAACCTGATCACAATTGTGCGATATTAACTTAGAATTACAAGACATAAACTCACAGTTCTGAGTCTGAATTATGAGAGGAAAAAGTCACAATGACCTTTTTTTATTCTTTGGCAAAAACAAAAACAAAAAAAGGGAATTGTAAGATGTAAATGAGTTTATAACTTGCAATTGTGAGATATAAACTTGGAATTTAAAGAAAAAAGTCTGAATTGTGAGATAAAAACTTTCAGAATTGTGAGATAAAAAGTTACCAGTTACCTTTTTTATTTATTCTGTGGTGAAAACAAACAAACAAAAAACTGAATTGCAAGATGTAAACTTGCAATTATGAGTTTAAAACTTGCAACTGCAATTTATAGTCACAATTCTGAAATAAAAAGTGAGATAAAAACAATTTTGAGAAAAGGAGAGACAGTCATTGTTAGTTTATGATACCTAATGCATAACTAATTGAACCAGAGTTCAAAGTGTTACCTAAAAGAAGCATTTTTCTAAAAAGGCAGCAGTGGGGTATTCATAAGTGTCAAATGCTTATGAATGGAATTGTACAGTAGTTACTGTTATGTGATTAATATTTGCTGTTTAACATTAAAAAAATTATTAACGCAATTAACAGCATCCTTTTCGTTCAAATGGCTCATATATTTGTTTGCGTGTGTATATCATGGCACGTAATATACATTTATATTAATAATAATGTACTTACATCTGGAACAGTGCGCTGCAGTTTGGACAAGCTGTACTTGTTGTACATGTTCTCACTGGTGCGGTTCTCATAGGGGATCACAATCTACAGAAGAGCACACACTCCATTGAAGCATAAAGTACCTTGACAGCAGTGTTTTCTTTTTCAATGCCAGTGCTTTGAAGGAATTTGGTTTCTCCAGTGTTTTGGTGCTCACCTGTGCAAGTTGGATTTCAAAGTCAAGTACTGGTTTCATCTGAACCTCAGCATCCAGCTCATTGGCTCCCAGCATGACAGAAACATCAACCATCAACCTTAAAAGAGCTTCTCGGTACTGCAGAGAGGCATGAAAAGAAAAGTTGGAGAATGCTGAGATATAAGCAGGGCTGATTGTGACAGTGTAATGATATACAGGTTGACAGATGTACCGATGTACCATTTGTGCCTCAGTTGTGTTGGTGATGTAATCTTCTCTGGATGACAGTGACAAAAAGGCCTGATCCAGCTAGAAAAAGAAATGGAGAACAACTAGGTATGTTTTCATCCTTCCCTCAATTTTATTGTTTGGACAAACAGGTAGCCCCGCCCCAAACTCACGCCATTGGTTGAGCCTAAACACATGTAGCCAGGTCTCACCTTGATGATGTACTGGTTTGAGTTCTTGTCATCAGGAGAGACATAAAGCCGAATAAGGACGGACTTGCTGTGCTGACTGCGTATCTGCGCCAGTGTCTCCAGCAAGTTAAACTGAGACTCCACCCACCGCGAGGAAAAGCCCAAGGCATCGTCTAAGACCGGCCAGCGGAATTCCTTCAGCTTTAGATTCTTCAGCAGAGGTATTGCATCCACAATCTCCAGAGCAGCTGTCAGGATAGAGGGAGGAAGGGAGTGATGAAGAAATAGCATTTATTCACTTGGCAGATGCTTACATTAGTAAAGCAGGGATTCCTAAACTTTTAAGTCAACTGAAGCTCTAAAACATTTAATAGAATTTCCCCCTGAGATTGTCAATTAATATTAACAATATATTAAGAACAAGTTAACAACATGTTTGCTTATTCACAGTTCTCTGATGCCATTTATTGTTTAAAAACATTAAGAATTCAAAATTCATTAAGTCGTTCAAAAATTTGGGATCAGTAAGATTTTTATGTTTTTAAAGACGTTTCTTATGCTCATCAAGGATGCATTTATTTGATCAAAAATACAGGAAAAATAATAATATTGGGAAATATTATTGCAAGTTAAAAAAATGTTTTTGTATATTAATATAATATAATAAAATGTTATTTATTCCTGTAATGCAAAGCTCAATTTTCATCAGCCATTACTCCAGTCTTGAGTCCTTCAGAAATCATTACTAATATGCTTAATATCTTTTTGGAACATCTGATGCTGTTTATGATTCTTTCATGAATTAAAAGTAAAAAAAGAGCAGTATTTATTTAAAATATAACTCTTTTGTAACAATATACACCTCTCTATACCATTCAAAAGTTTGGGGTAAGTACTTTGTTTTTTAAAGAAATTAAGAATTTTATTCAGCAAGGATGTGTTAAATTGATAAAAAATTAAGACTTATATTGACACTTTTAAATGGCAGTATATACATACAGTGGGGCAAAAAAGTATTTAGTCAGCCACCAATTGTGCAAGTTCTCCCACTTAAAAAGATGAGAGACATATACAAGTTATTTTAATTTTAAATGTTTATGATGTAATAATTATTATTTAATTAATTAAGACATAACTAGTTTTGTCAGTTTTAGTTTTGCAGACATACTTTATATATATATATAGATAGATAGACCTTTATTTAAAACCATTACTTTCTGGGTAAAATAACAGTTTTTGGTGTTTAAATGGATAGTTATTATTATTATATTATACAATACATAATATAATAACGTCATATTTAAGATGTCCCCCATCCCAATCATGGATTATACATGAAATTATAATTTAGAAATGAATCACATCTGAATATTGCTGCGTGTATGAAACTGCAAAGAGCTCTTCGGTTCTTACATTCATTCATGCAGGACATGTAGAGGACTTTGGCCTTCTTCACTGCCTCTATGTCATCTCCTCCGATGGGCTGCTCTAACAACTCTGTGGCACAATGATTCAATATTAAATCACCTTACAGTATTTGGGCTGAAGGTTTATTTTGGTCAGAATCATGTGGATCGTGCACCTTTCAGCTTGAGGTCTACATTCTGTCTGAGCCATGGGTAAATTCCATAGCTGGATGTGTCTTCTGGAATGGGGTTGTCCCGGAGCCAGCCTCCACATGCGTACTGGTAGAAATCATCACATGGTTCTACTGACTGATCTATCTTACTCAAGATTGAACCGGCTAGAGAAGACACATCAGCAAACACAGATTCAGCATTACAGTAATCTCAGAGAAGTAAACACAGTGTTCCAACTGAATAGAGGTTTCTCTGAATGATAATGCCTGTTTATTATGTTCAAAGTAAGAGTGAGTGAGTGCAGTTTAGGGAATTGCTGCTGTAGGTGGTTGCCTAAAAAGTAAACGTGATATATCTGCATGGCTTTATGATATAAGTTTACCTGCTTCGATACAATGTGGTGTGAGGCAGAAGTCATCATTGCTTGCCTTGTGTGATACTACAGGGGCAGAGAAAAAAACTGTCAAGCAGACCGATCAAGACAGCTATGCCCTGAAATGACTGCCAAACATTGCGTTATGAGCATACACACACACATACACACACAGATTCAGATCCCACTGTGCTCAGGCTTTAGCTGTCCACGCTCTGGATGTCACAGGACAAAAACATAGTGCATGCTCTACTACACATGTTCCAAACATCTACAAACAGGGCTGGGGGAAAGTAACATGTTACAATATAATGTCCTTAAAAAGCAGCCAACTAGGTAATTTTCTTTTAAAAAGTTAATTACTTTTGAATGACATTTTCTTGTAATGTATCCTAATGCATCCACTATTACATTAAATTATATTAAATTGAATCACAAAATATTAAAGAAACATTATATTTAATATATAAATAATATTTATTACTTTTTTGTATTTAATACAATTAGCTTTTTACAGAATTTAATTTAATTTAAGCTAATTGTTTTTCCCCATATAAGAACATTCCCTGTATAGATGCACTGCTTGCAATCTAGTTTAATTTAGGGTTATTATAGTTAACTAAAACTAAAACTAAAACCATGATAATAATAATAACAGTAACAACAACATTTTTCTTAATTGAAATAAATGTTAACTGAAATAAAAAAAAATTTATTTAAAAAATATACAAATTTTAGCTAGCTGACAAAGCAATATTTTTCATTTTCTTAATTTGATGTACTAAAATGAATAAAACTGAAATAAAAATAGTATAAATTATATACAAATTAAAGATAAAATTGACAAAACACAACAAAATAACTAAACCTTTAAAATAAAATTAAAATAAAAAATAATAATAAACAAATTTAAAAATTAAAATATAAAAAAACTACAATAGTATCTCAGTAATACTAAAACAACACTATGATTTAATTGTGTCATGTACATGGAATTTAAAATTAAAATTAAAAATATTTATTTTTGTATTTGCTCTTTGTATTTAATATATTTAGCTTTTACAGAATTTAATTTAATTTAATTTAATTTAATTTAATTTAATTTAATTTAATTTAATTTAATTTAATTATTGTTTGCCTAAGAACTATATTTCTTCCCTATATTCCTATATTCCTCCTATATATGCACTGCTTGCAATGTATACATCTTCGCTGATTAGGATGTGAACGATCCAGTTTCATCATATTTGTCATAAAATGGTGTAAACTCAGAAATCTGGTTACACAATGCCGTGTTATTCAATATTGCAGTGGTTCTCAAACCTGTCCTGGAGTACCCCCAGCCCTGCACATTTTGTATGTCTCCTTCATCTATCACACCTGATTCAACTCATCAGCTCATTAGTGGAGACTGCAAGACCTGAAGTGGGTGTGTCAGATATAGGGAGACGTACAAAATGTGCAGTGCTGGTGGTACTTCATGGAGAGGTTTGAGAACCACTGCAATATTGTATCCAAAGTAAATTGAATTAATGGAGCAAAATAACAAATACATTTTTGCAATATCTGCTTCAGCGCACTGAAACCTGATCAGCGCAAACTCTCCAGTGAAACTGTGTGAATTTGTTTCAGTGAGTTTGACTGAGCACAAACTATGTATGTTGTGAAATCGGACAAGCATTGCTTTTAAAGGCCTGTGTTTATGGTTCAGTCCACAACTGGACAGCAGATGACCACAGCAGGATCCAGCACCCGGCCCCGTGGGACTGAGCCTCATTATCCCGACAAGCAGCAGACACAGACGCTTGTGTGTGTGTGTGACTGGAATATGTACAAACAGAAATGAGCATAATTACACTCTAGTCTCACCGCAAATATGCAGGCAGTCCTCAACAACTGAGAACAATAAGAAGAACATCATTATTTTGCTGTCTGCAAAACTGTACACCACCCAGGAAACACTTATGTACACCAAAATACATCCACACACACTCGTAAAGCCTGTCATGAGATGTACATTCACAATGTCTCAGGTTCCACGAGACCCATTCACATCATTTCAGCACTCTTAAAGTGACAATTCACCCAAATATGAAAATTCTGCCTCCATTTACTCACCCTCATGTCATTTAACAAATTGTAAGGGGCATTTTTATGGTGCTTATTGGAGTTTAACAGCCCCTGGTCATTACATACTTAAATTTTTAGAGAAAAGAGCAGCATGAACACTCTTTAAAATATCTTTTATGTTTCACATAAGAAAGCAAGTCTATGGAATTAAAGGGTTAATTCACCCAAAAAATGAAAATTAGGCTGTGTTTTACTCACCCCCGAGGCATCCTAGGTGTATATGACTTTCTTCTTTCTGACGAATCCAGTCGGAGTTATATAAAAAATTGTCTTTGACCTTTCAAGCTCTATCATTTCAGTCAGCGGGTGTTGCATTGCTTCAGTCCAAAAGAAGTTAAATAAAAAGCGCCCATGCATTAAAAAAAGTGTCTCACACGGCTCCGGGGGGTGAACAAAGGCCTCCTGTAGCGAATCGATGTGTTTTTGTAAGAAAAATATCCATATTCAAAATGTAATAATCACTTTAATCTAGCTTGCTCTCACTGTTGTTAACAGAAGGAGTTCCGGGGGAATGACGTATGAGGTCAGCTTTGCGCATGCGTGGCTCAGAAGTGACGCACGCGGAAGCGCAGGGGAGAGATCAAAACAAAACAATGGTCAAGAATAAGAAGTACAAAACGAGGATTTGTATAGAAGAATGTCAGAGGATTTCGATATAAGCCAAGAGGAGACAGGTTTTCCTTTGCTAAAGTAAGGAAACTTTGCTTCCTTTGATCCTGTAAACAAATGTTGGTTTTCACGAGACTCACCGGCGCATGCGCAACACTGAACTCATGCGTCATGCTCCCGGAACTGCTTTCGTGTACAACTGCTGGCGCAAGCTAGATTAAAATGATTATTACGTTGTGAATATGGATATTTTTCTTACAAAAACGCATCGATTCGCTACAGGAGGCCTTTGTTCACCCCCCGGAGCCGTGTGAGACACTTTTTTTTATGCATGGGCGCTTTTTATTTAACTTCTTTTGGACTGAAGCAATGCAACACCCACTGACTGTAATGATAGAGCTTGAAAGATCAAAGGCAATTTTTAATATAACTCCGACTGGATTCGTCTGAAAGAAGAAAGTCATATACACCTAGGATGCCTCGGGGGTGAGTAAAATGCTGCCTAATTTTCATTTTTGGGTAAACTACCCCT